GTGTTGATACAATTTTATGTTTAATACTTTCTGCATATCTTACCTGTTTCCTAGTATGGCGGCTGTGGATACAGGGTATGCTGGGAAGCCTTTTTTGCAGGCACACATAGTTGTAAGGGTTAAACTTGCCCATGGTATAAACAGTGCCATTACATCCAATAACATAGGCGTGATGGCTCTGAAACGCATAGCCCCGACCCCATCGCAGCTGACTGGCATGTGACATCATTTTCACTCTGGTCTTGCATTTACAAGTGGTCACACTTCTTGGTTTCAACCACTCCCTGGTATCTTTCCATTACCCGGCTGGCGGCAATGATAGAGCACTCTTGCCTGAAATGACAGACCCCTGGGGCACATCTGAGCTGGAAGCTTGATGATATTCATGATAAACGCTGACTGTCATCCTTGAGTGAGTTGTCAGTTGCCTTTTTTTTTAATCTATTAAAGGTTTCCTATTGCTACACTTAGTTTAGCATCCTCTTGTGTTCTCTTTGTCCTTATACAGATACTCTTCAGTCTGTGAGGTTCTGCAGCTAATATACAGTGCTCAGCATAAATGTGTACACCCCAACAGATATGTCAGAGAACCCTTACTTTACTTTCAGAATCAACATTTTCTATGGGACACAATACTATAAAATATCCCCACAAATACGGGCCATTGATTGCAAACAAGATTAGTTAATTTACACAGACAAAAAAGTATTTTTCCTAACAAATTCATTCAAGACCATGTTGCAAAAATGAATACACACCAATGAAAGTCTTAGGAGCAAAGTTAAATTTTAGAATTTTTGAACAAGAATTCAATACAGGTGAGTTTAGTTATTCATTAAACAGGTGTCCAGCAGAATGTTGATTATAAAAGGGCGCCACTTAATAAAGAAAACCCCTTCCCATTTCATGCTGTCAGCAATGGCACCACAAGGAACAGAAATGTCACAAGGCTTGAAAAAGAAAAGAATTTCTTTACACCAGAAAGGTGAAGGCTGCAAGAAGATCAGTAAAGCTTTACTTATCAGGCAGAATACTGTAGCAAAAGTGATACAAAAATTTAACAAAGAAGGAACTGCGACCATCTCACAGAGGCGTCCAGGCTTTCTACAGAAGTTAACACCACAACAGGAGCGTATTCTGATGAGAGGGGTTGAAGAAAATCGCCATGCAAGGTCACTGCAGTTAGCTAAAGTAGAAAGCCAAACTGGGGTGATTGTTTCCAGTCACACAATACAGCATATACTGCAATGGAATAGCATGCATGGGTGTCGTCCAAGAAGGAAGCCTCTCCTAAAGTCCATGCACAAAAAAGCCTATCTAGAATTTGCCAGGGCCCATGCTGAAAAAGAAGAACACTGCTGTGACTCTGGAGTGATGAGACCAAAATAAATGTTTTTGGAACTGATGGCTTCAAAACTGTATGGCGTTGCAAAGGTGAGGAGTACAAAGAAAAATGAATGGTGCCTACAGTGAAACATGGTGGTGGCAGTGTCCTTCTGTGGGGCTGCATGGGTACTTTTGGTTTTTGAGAGCTGCATTTCATTGATGATATCATGAATTCACAGATGTACTGCTCTATATTGAAAGAGAAAATGCTACCATAACTCCATGCCCTTGGTCATTGTGCACTTTTGCAACATGACAATGATGCAAAACACATCTCAGGCCACTGTTGTATTTCTTCAGAAAAACAGGGCAAAAGTGATTCAGTGGCCAAGTATGTCTCCTGATCTGAACCCAATCAAACACCTATGGGGAATTCTGAAGAGACAAGTTGAGCATCACATTACACCCAGCATCTAGTATCTAAAAGAGTTCATTCTTAAAAAATGGAAAAATATAGATGTTGCAATATGTCATCAACTTGTTCATTCTATGCCTAGAAGACTTGGACTGTCCTTACAAATCATGGAGGTCATACAAAATACTAGATGTAATAGTTTTTGATGTGGGGTGTTTTCACTTTTGCATCAACTAATTTGAGAAAAACTGAAGATTTCGTAATCTAAATTATATTATTAACCTTACTTTCATGTAATGATCCAAACAAATGTTCTATAAAACTCAGTTTTGTCAATATTTGTAAAGAGTTCTGTATTCAATGAGATATTGATTAAAATCTTACTTTTCAAAAGGGGTGCACTCATTTATGCCGAGCACTGAACACTGGAATTAATGTTTGATGGACTATGAAGGACTATGTTATCCCCATCCTTAGTTGTGCAAGTGGTCCAATGATTGCTACAGTATACCTATGCCTCTTGTTTATTGCACCATAATCCATTTTTTGTCTTAGTGTAAAACACAACAGTTCCTCAATGTGGTATATAGGAGGGGCAAAAAAAAAAAAAAGAGAAGATGCCCCCAAGAAAGAAACTAATGTCTAGTGAAAAGGTACATGTACCTACTCCCAAACTTGATGAAAGTGACAAACACCAAAAAGAGAAAGAAAGCAACAAAAATATCAAATTGTGTTTTTCCATTCCCTTACAGGGAAAGGGACACAAAAAGCAGAGACATGCTACAACTGCTCTTCCTCTGTTATAACCTCCTATGAAATCCCCATTCCAACCCATATAATAAGATGAGTTCCAAAGTTATAGTCTCATATCAGCCACTATATAGGAGACAGTGGAGAAACAACCAAAAATATAATATCTCACATGTGTCCACCAGTGTGAAAGGTCTACAACATGTGTATCCGCTGGTAGCTCAGGTTCCACTGCAAGGAGTACCCTTATATAGCGTAAGTCACACTTCCATATAGGGCAGGACTAGTGGTGCCATAAAAACAAGAAAGATGGTGCAAGCCATGTGGTTTGGATTGTCATTCTCTCTGTGCTGGAGAGCTGCTCAACCGGATTCCCCAAGGTGCATGCGTCACATTTCAAATGCGCATGGTGTGACATCATAACACATGCTGTAGGCTAGCATTTACGTGCCACACCCCCTTCTCCCCCTAACCAGAGGGAACAGGAGACGCAAGTATGCGAACAAAGAACCCACCAGGAAACATATCTGTGGCCACATACCTTTCAACTGGAAGATTGAAATTCCCCACTCATGCTATGCGTATGTCCATAAATACGTCTCGAAAATTGTTGTTTGCCTTTGCCTAGATAGTATGATCCAGAATCACAAAGTAATAAATAAATGATCCCTTCAGTAATTCACAAAATGCAGCAGTTTGCAGGGTTCTCCACTGGGCAACATATCCTGTATCAATATAACAACAGAAGTGAAGAACTGAAGGGAAGGTGCCCTTATCTCTGCATGGGTAACCTCTCAGTTCTATACTCACTATGAACCAACAAGCATAAAGCAGTCTATGTATGATCTCTTCTGGGTTGTCCTTGTGTATCCCACAGTAACGTATTAAAAAGAAGTAAAATGTTATAATGTACAAAGACATGTCAGTCACTATGTGGTTTTAATGTATTTATGTTTTATGATGTATTAAAGAAAAATATAAAAATTGTATGATATGTTACATTGTGTACAGTTTTTGCCTCCCAATAGAGAGGATATAAATTTTAGGCAATAGAGCTTTGAATGATCATGGTAAAGACTTCAGTTAAAATGACAGAACATGCAGCTACACCCAACTAATGAAGACTCTGAGGCATAATAGACTTTAAAAGCAGAGGAGCGCGTGACTCCAGGTTGTGAACATCAGCATCTTCAGTAACCCACCCCCCGTGTTGTTTAGATCAGGCATGTTGCAACGGGGTGGTGGTGAGTAAGCATATATGCTCAATGTAGAAGTTGAGGTCTCAGGTACCACACAAAATAGAGAAATAGAGACAGCTGGTACCAGGTGAGGGTAGGATGGCCGGAGATGACCAGAGTCACTGTAGTGACAGAAAGGGATCAAAGATCCACGTGGATTTGCAACCAAGAACACAGCAGGGAGATGCTTCATGGACACTGTGTGGCAAGAAAGAAAGAACAGAACTCATACTCAACACTCTACCCAGAAATTGACATCAGTACTTCCAAGGCCTCCTTCTACTCGAGAAAACGTTAGGCATAAGGAACAAAGACATCCAGTAGCCTATGCAACTGTGGTGGCTCCTGATGCTCAGCCGAACTGTGCTACTTACTGAGTCTTCTGTGATGGGGCAGCAAATACTGAGGCAATGGAAAGTGCTCCACAGCCAACTTTTAATAGAATGGTGTCTGTAAAGCACTCTATAGGAAACCCAATGCTTGCAGGGTTAAGTCTGAATGAGGTAATCCAAATACCAGGCTAAAGATGACCATGCCAAATAGCTGCAATCGAAGATACAAAGCTCCAGAAACAATGTAAAGAATAGTCAACTAAAAAGAAAAAGAAAAAGAAAAAAAAAAAAAATCGAAGCAAAAACAAGTGCTAGCAATAAATTGGTTAGTCATTGAGGTCTATCTAGTCATTGGTTTGGTGGCTGCATTCATTTTCATTTTCCACCTGGCAATGCTGCAAATAACACACTTTCTGTCCCTGGGTGGCTACATCACTTCACTGTATCTGTTGGAGCCATGGTTGTCACTCTAGGCTGCTCTCCTGCCATGGACTCTAAACATGTCTGTATATCTTCATCTCCATTACATGGGGGTAGGGCAACTGGTAGTTTACAGAAGATAGCTAGAAAGGAAGATATTCTTCTGTGCAGCTTTAAGGCTGGGTTCACAACTGAGCGATGCAGCAGCGCACGTGCCCTAACTTGGGTTACCGTGCGTTGCAGTAGGGCAGTCCATTAATTTAAAGTAGCTACCTACCCCATCCAAATCACACTGAAGAAGAGCGTGACTTTTTTTTTCTTTTTAATTGCACCATACCAAATTGCATGGTACTTTAGCAAGATGCGCTGGGTGCCATTAACATTATTAGCACCGCAATGCACCTGCAAAAAAGATATGGTTTTGTTGTGCGTTGCAGAAATGTGAACAATTTTGCATGCATTCCTGCCATAAAGGGGGAATAGAACATTCTGCAATTTAGCCGTAGACACATTTCTCACCTTCAGGGGCTGAAGATTCTTTCCTTCTGCTGGATGGAGGAGCTAGCAAACTGACTGCATTTGGTTGATGCTCTGGAGATCTAACTAGAGCGGACATAATAATTTGCTGTCTTGCTGTACCAGGCGTAGATGGAACAGGGTGCTCAACCACCTTGAGATGTGCCGCTGTAGAAAACAGAAACTTTTCAGAAATCACATACAGACTAAGTGTTCACAGACTGAGGTACATACACCTATGCTGCCACTTCAAACCTCAGATTGTAGCTCTGATATCGATTCAAAATTATTATTATCACAGAAAAAGGCACTTGGTTAAGCAGAACTAGCATGTGTCCTTTCAAGGTGTTGTCTCCTCTTCCTTAAACTAACTATAGCTCAATTGTTTTTTCTTTAGCTTTGAATATAGTGTGGAAGGATTGGATCTCATATCAGGTTTTACAGCCTTCAGTGGCTTCATTGGAGAGATTTCTTCACTCCCTGCCTGGTAAAAAGCTGTCCCTAGGAGAGGAAACAAGGGTAAATCTCTCTAACAGCAACAGATAGAATTAATCAGGGGAATGTTAAAATCTTACTCTGCTTCATTATTTTCTCTTTGTTGCAGTGTTTTTCCCACAGCAAGAGTAAATCTCTCTAACAGAGCCCAGGATAGCAGTAAAACATGACTGGGTTCTTGCCTTTACCCATTCTATGTAAATTAAAACATATTTTTTAAGAAAAAAATTACAAAGACATTTGACGGTAAAATCTTTTTCCTGAAATTCTTCAACAATTGAGCTTTAGGAGACCGAGACACTGGCAAACCAGAAACAGTTAGACCTGCCCCCATATAACCCTGCCTCAGTTTTGTAAACAAGGAGTAAATAAGGCCAAAAAAAACAGAGGGGCAGGGGACCTGTGCCTCTCAATGGACTTCCAGAAAAAGATTTTAAGAACTTTCAGAGGGCTGGGTGAACATGATGTTATAAACTGTGTAGTCCAGCCCAATGTGTTTCGTCACTGTTTGTCACTTTTTACATTGTCAGGGGATACAAAGTCAGAGGGTACTTTCATATCAATTAAGATAGGGTTATACTGCCACCTTCAGTTGTTTGGACACCAGACAAAATAAGACCTCCAAGTCTTGTGGTAAATCTTTTATGAAATCCTCGCCTTCAGCAGGTTAGGAAGGACTGAATCAGTGACACCCGTCTCTCAGGGCCTTGTTTTCAATAACCATGTCATTAAAGCCAGCAACTCCTAAGAATGATGGGAGATCAGACCTTGCCACAGGAGTTTGGGTTGATACGGAAAGCTCTATGGTTTGTCCACCGACAAGTTTACGATGCTGGATTACCACATTCACCTGGGCCAGGCTGTGGCAATTAGAATCACAAGAATGCCTTCCACCCAAATCCTGCAAAGCAAACAAAGTAGATGCAATAATGGATAAAAGGCATAAATTAGAGGGAACTGATGTCACCACAGCATCCACTGTATATGCTCGGGGGTCCCTGGTCCTGAATATGAATCTGTCCAGCTTTGCACTGAACCTGGAAGCCAGAAGATCCACATCTGGGGCTCCCCACTTTCTGCAGATTTCCTCGAAAACCTCTGAGCAAAACTCCTGTTGCTTCTGCCTGACTAGCTTTACTCACTATGTGATTCTTCGAAGGCTGAATCATACCAAAGACTATTCCATGGTTCTGTATAGCGCTCTGCGGCTAAATACCACAATACACAAAGATGTGGAAAGTGCAATAATGCAGAGCCTAGTGCCTCAAGGTCACATTTCAGGCTTGCCCCACAGTCCTCTAATCCAGTGGGGTCTGGGTACGGCTTCAAAAGCAGCGTAAATGAAGCATTGATTGAAAAGAAAACATATATTCAGTGTACTGAGTTTTTTGAATGAAGAAAAATAAAAAGCTAGTCAAATATAGGTTAATTTTTTTTTATCACAATAGCTGAGGAAAAAATGTCCAACCTCCTAGGACACAGCAGAAAACTGAAGCATATGGTGGCTGGAGGTGGAGTTATATAAGGGCTGACTTAACGGATTTTGTTTGATACAGTCTCAACTTCCTGAATATGGCAGTATATCCCGACCGGTTTAGGAATTTCTACAATTCCTGTGTTCCTCAATAAACTATTTTGTTCTAGATAAACCTTAAACGTAATCCCACTACTAGGATCTTTGTCATAAAACAGTAACTAAAACGACAGCATAGTACTTGCGCTCACAGCAACGCCATAATAATAATACAACGTGTATCTAAAATGATGATATTGGAAGCATTGGGCTTTACAGCAGTAAGACTGTGTGCCTTAGGTTTAGTTAAGCCCTTAAATGTGATCAGAGGAATAATGTCTTTCAGAACGATGGGGAGAGAAGGAAAAAATTGTGGCGAAGTAGAATATGTTATAACTGATAAAATGGGCAGTTTCTCCCTGAAATGTTTTACTTCTCTTAAGATACATACGGTTCCTTTTAAAAAGTGACTTTTCCCTTGAATCACAGAGATGTGCTTGTTAGTTGTGTTGCATGGACAATTGTTGCTGCTAAGGTACTCCATACTGTCTGTGAGCACATAACAGAATACACTTCTTGCAGTGCGAACTCCATTTTGCCTACTTAATGCCAAGCAGTCATTGCTAAACCGCCACAGACCTCAAATAAGTCAGGCTTGGAGTTCGGGTCAAAACTGAGTTTTTGCAGTATGTGTGGAGTTCTGACAATCAGCTAATGAACTTGGCCAACAAATAGAACTCTGACCAAAAGATAACTGATAAACAAAAGGTACCTTCTTCCCTGGCTGATCGTAGTTCTATTCTTGTTTTTTGGAGAGCTTCCTCAAGTTCTGCAGTCCGTGCCTTCTCTTTTTCCAGAGCTACTTTTAGTTCATTGTACTGCAATGGAATCTGCGAAGTTTGAATAGGGTCATCTCTGCGTCTACCAAACAAACCCTGCAATGCAAATGAGATAAACAAATTGTAACTGGTAATTGCTAAAATGCTACTGATTTTTTTGATAGATGCTATTCACCTCTTCATATAGCAGCTCGCAAAAGAAACACCTATGCAAAAAAAGTAATTTTAGTTGTAAAACCCAAAATTTCATATTCCTAAAATGTGCCTACCGTACCAAGTACTTGTAAGAAAGAGTCTTGTTCTCTTCTTATTGCTTCCATTGTGTGAAATACCTGGTGGTACTGCCAGTCTCTCTGCTTTCCTATTAAAAATTGACCACACTATGCAGGACAGCACAGCGTGGTCAGTTTTCTAGTTGTGCTGTTAACTAATCTAATGATGAGGCTTGTGTTGACAGGCCCACTCCGCACAGCCATTCACTGAAAAAACCAGTATACTGGAAAAATTACTGGATTAAAAAATGCTAGTAATAGTATTTTATTAGCATTTTTACAGTATATGTAGAGAGGAAAAAAAGAGCTTGAAAAAAGCTGTTAGGAGCATTTAGTAGCGTTTTTTGGAGCATTTAGCGTTTTTTTTCTGGAAAAACACTCCCAAAAAAAACATTTTTTTCTGCTCCTAAACACTGAAGCTTGAAAAATGCTACTAGTCTAAAATAGTGTGCATGGATAGGATAACAGTATTGAGCTTCTAGGAAGTTAAAAGCCACTAGTGTGCATGGGGCCTTATAATGTTTTTTATATGTATACACAAATGTTTTGCCTTTCATTTCTATTTTGTTTTCGAAGATGAGGGTTTCCATTTACTTTAAAATGAATAGGCTGTCTCCCTGCAGTAGGTTTTTCAGAGCCTAGTAGGAACTACTCAGAGTCAGGAGGCTGCAGGCAGTATTGCTGGAAGCAAGAATTCTCTTCAGTAAAATTAACATATCATATCAGGATTTTTCTCTGCAACAAGTATAAATAATTTTTGGAGAAATGGAAGGTATACTTTCTATACTATAACAAGAGAAATGTTTACCTTTTTCTTCTTAGATGGCTGATCCATTTTAGCTTGTAAGAAATCAATAAGCTTGGTCTGTTGAGAAATTGTTCCTTCCATCTTCACCTTTTCATGAGAATAAAGAACCTAACACAAGCAAGTACAAATGCTGGTTAAGATTTTTGAATGAATTGTGTGCACTATGATCGTCGAATAAGTATAGTGGTTTATTAGTTTTAAAGTACAGTGGATATAAAAAAGTCTACACACCACTGTTAAAATCGCAGGTTTCTGTGATGTAAAACAATGAGACAAAGATAAATAATTTCAGAACTTTGTCCACCTTTAATGTGACCTATAAACTGTACAACTCAACTGAAAAACAAACTGAAATCTGTTGGGGGATAAACATAAAAACACTAAAAAAATGTGGTTGCACTCCGTCTTATAACTGGGGATGTAGCCGTGTTCAGAATTAGTCACATTCAAAATCCTGTTAAATAGGAGTCAGTACACACCTGCCAACATTTAAAGTGTCTTTGATTAACCCCAAATAAAAGTTCAGCTGTTCTAGTAGGTCTTTCCTGACATTTTCTTAGTCGCACCCTACAGCAAAAGCCAAGGTCCGCACAGAGTTCCAAAGCATCAGAGGGATCTCATTGGTAAAAGGTATCAGTCAGGAGAAGGGTACAAAAGTGTTTCCAAGGAATTAGATATACCATGGAACACAGTGAAGACAGTCATCTTCAAGTGGAGAAAATATGACGCAACAAGTGACATTATCAAGAACTGGACGTCCCTCCAAAATTGATGAAAAGACAAGAAAAAAACTGGTCTTGGAAGGCTGCCAAGAGGCGTACAGCAACATTAAATGAGCTGTAGGAATATCTGGCGAATACTGGCTGTGTGGTACATGTGACAACAATCTTCCAGATTCTTCATATGTCTGGGCTATGGGGTAAAGTGGCAAGACGGAAGCCTTTTCTTACAAAGAAAAACATCCAAACTAGGCTATATTTTGCAAAAACACATTTGAAGTCTCCCAAAAGTATGTGGGAAAATGTGTTATGGTCTGATGAAAGCAAGGTTGAACTTTTTGGCTATAATTCCAAAAGATATGTTTGGCGCAAAAACAACACTGCACATCACCAAAAGAAAACCATACCCACAGTGAAGCATGGTGGTGGCAGCATCATGCTTTGGGGCTGTTTTTCTTCAGCTGGAACTGGGGCCTACGTTAAAGGTAGAGAGAATTATGAACAGTTCCAAATACCAGTCAATATTGGCACAAAAACTTCAGGCTTCTGCTAGAAAGCTGAACATGAAGAGGAACTTCATCTTTTAGCATGACAACGACCCAAACCATATATCCAAATCAACAAAGGAATGTCAAGTCAAGATGTTCCATGCTGATAGACTCATACCCAAAAAGACTGAGTGCTGTAATAAAATCAAAAGGTGCTTCAACAAAGTATTAGTTTAAGGGTGTGCACACTTATGCAACTTATATTATTTTATTTTTTTATTTTTACTCTACCTAAATTATTTCAGTTTGTTGTTCAACTGAGTTGAACAGTTTATAGGTTACATTAAAGGTGGAAAAAGTTACAAAATTATTCATCTTTGTCTAATTTTTTTACATCACAGAAACCTGACATTTTAACGGGTGTGTAGACATTTTATATCCACTGTAGGTTTGATACATCATATGCATTGAAAAAAAGCTGAACTTCATTCTGCACTCCTGTGACCCATTTTCAGCCAACAGCGGGCTAACGTCCACTGTCAGCTGACATCACTCAGCTGGTCCAGGATGGGTAAAGATCCCGACTTTAAAGTCAGGATTCACCCAGGTATCTGGAACGGCACCTGGCTCAGCCTCTCAAGGATCCACTGAAAGCCCGAGCCAGCCGATCCCTTCTCTTTCCATCCACAGCCCAGCACTCCAGTGAGCACTGGGGGGGGGGGGGGGTGGGCAGAGCAAAAGAATGGTGACTGACAGTCACCAGCTCTTTGCTCACGGAGCGCTGAGAACTGAGCAATCAACAGTCTTTGATTGCTCAGTTCTCAGTCTTCAAGCTGGCGGGGGACCGCTTGTAGTGGTTTTCATATCATGCCACATGTCATTTTGCGATGTACACTTGTACTATGCAACTTGACAAACTGCCCTATATTCTATAATGCACAATATATGATCGATCACTGCTTTTTCTTGCTCTAGTGGAACTCTCAACAAAATAAAGAATGTTTTAAAAAAAATCAGCTATGTCAGTCAGCCATGATACCTTCTCCTGAGAAATATTTAAAAGGTAAAAAAATATATATTTTTTTAAATTTTGAAATGCTGTGTGAATAGGAACGCATAACGCAGATATTGTGGGGGTTTTAAATTTGACTGCAAAAAAGGGGTCAAAATCTTTACCAAGTAATTATAGACCTGTTAGTTCAACATCTATAGTTGTTGGATGAGTTCTTGCTAGAAAAAAATATTTTAAGCAACAGACAGCATGGATTCATGAAAGATAGAAGTTGTCAAACAAATCTGATTTCTTTTTATGAGGAGATGAGCAAAACCTTGGACAGAGGGGTGGAGGTGGACGTGGTATACTTGGATTTTGCAAAAGAGTTTGACACAGTTCCCCACACACGGCTTATGTTATACTCTGAATGGTCTAGGCGGGTTGTTAGTGGTGTACCCCAAGGTTCAGTGTTGGGACTCTTACTTTTTAAAATATTTATAAACGATATAGGGTCTGGGATTATAACTATAATATCAGTCTTTGCAGATGACACCAAGCTTAGCAGTGGAATAATGTCCTTACAGGATGTCTCCAACTTACAAGGCGACCTCAATGCACTGTTTAATTGGGCAACTATGTGGAAAATTAGGTTTAGGCTGGGTTCACACTGATGCATTGCAGAACATAGCGTTTCCTGTGCGAATTCCGCACCGCATAAGAATCGCACCCCGTTCATGCGAACCGCTGCGGGTATGTATGTTAAGTTAACAACACCCCGAAATCGGTCCGCAAAACTCGGTGCGATGTGCAGAATGAGATCGCATAGGTGTGAATACCCATGCAATCCAATTCTAGTGCAGACCAAAAAAAGGGTTCTGCACCTTTTTAGTGCAGGTGCAGTGCGATCTGAGCCATACAAAATGGCTCCAATCGCACTGCACACAAATCACATGTGATTTGCACAGGAATGCGGTGCGGTTCCTGTGCAAATAACATGCGATATACCCCACTGCATATGTGTAAACCCAGGCTTAATGTTGATAAATGTAAGGTTATGCACTTGGGGGCTAAGAATATGCATGAATCATATGCATTTGGTTGGTCAACACTTCACTCATCACTATTTATAGGGCACAGTGGCGCTATTATACTGTAGTGCACGTGGTCTGTAAATAGTGAGGAGTGAAGTGTTGATCAATCACATCTCCCTGACGAAGCCATGTAACTCGGTGGCGCAACACGTACGGGAGTGGCTCTGACGTCACCACACACTCGAGAACACAGCGGCGAGTATAGTCTGTGTGTTCAACACACAGAAAGGAGACTGTTTAAGGCTTTATATGTTTAATGACATTGAATATTAGGGAAAACGAAGAACAAGAAAGATTTATCCTTATCCAACACCATCAAGAGGGAGATATCCTTGTAATCAAGTCCGTGTAAGGGAAGTCCAACACCAAGTTAACCCCGGTGGACAAAAAGGAGAAGTACATCTGTTAATTCAGCATATCATTTAGAGGAGAATGATCACCCTGTCTTTAAAAACTATGGTTGCCTAACTGACAGTTAGGCTTCCTTTGAGGTGAGCGCATAATAATATCTTTATTTGAAGAGCACTTTATTTCAAGAAAAGCACTTTATTTTAAGAGAAGCACTTTCACTCAAGAGAAGCATCTTCATGTAATGGACTTTGGAAATATCACTATATGAACTGATTCTTATTATATTATATTTTATTCTATTTATTTCTTAGTTTAATCACAGCACAATCTAGTAAGGAATTTTTTTTGATATATACCAATTTAAGCACAAATAAGAGGAGCGCGGCACTATTGGAATATAATTATTTGTATATTGCACATTATAAGAGTGTGTGTATCAGCGCCAGCAAACCTCAGTAACACAATTAGTTATATAATCATTATACAGAACTATAGTGGCTCACAAGTACTTTATTATAAATTAGCAAATTGGATCATACTTTGCTGGGGGGTTTTTTTTGCCTTCCTCTGGATCAACTGTGGGTGTAGGATAACTTTTTTTTTTTTTTTTTTATGGTTGAACTGGATGGACTTTTTGTCTTTTTTCAGCCAGACTAACTATGTACATACACATCCCTGATGTCCACCAATGCCAAAAAATCCCCTGGATGAGGGGTAGCAATCATGGACCGAACATATTCCAGAAGCTTCTGTGCGGGAAAGATGTTAAGGACCTTCAGAATTCAAATGGAGTACATGCCCCCATTCAACATGTGAACACAAAAGAGGCTGGGGTGAAAGCCCTGGAATTTTTTCTTTACAAGGTAATATTGCCTTGAGAGCAAAGCTGCTCTAGGACAATAAGAAAATCTCACTTTCTGTGGGGAAAACAGAAAAAAACACATTGGAGACCATGAAATGCAGAATAGGCATGGTTACAAACTCTAGCTGGCAACCTCTGGACATAATGTTTTGAACAAACTAATCTGGAACTTCCTGGCACCAAACAGACACAAAGGCTTACAAACTTTCCCTCTACTTGATGAAGGAGGGGCATGCATTCACTGGGTACGGTACTTGTTTCCAGTCTTGGAGGACTTGGGAGACTGTTGCCTATTATGGAACTGGGTTCTAGACTTTGCTTTGAGCTTGAGGACTGTAAAGGATGAAAGCAACTCTGCTTAGTCCCTGCTGAGGAAGACTTGGAGCCCTATTGTTGTGCCACAGAGTATGTCTCATCTGATCAGACACATGGCCTAACCGGTAATGCTTAAAAAGAGCATCTCCCAGCCCGACTACACAAAAGCATAGGACCTCTCAAAGGAGCTCCAGGTACGGATGAGCAGAGGAACCTGCCCTAAGTGTCCCCCAGAACTTTAGCCATATGCTTAGCCCAGAGCAAAAAATAATAGAAAACGTACTTTGT